AGAAGAAGGGTGGAGTCTCCAGGAGATGGGGAGAGAAGCAAGATGAACATATTATACCGAGGAAAAGTACAGAGCCACTTGGTAGAACATAGAAAAGAAATATGGGTTAATTTTAGTTATGGGCTTAAGTTATAGATTTAAGTTATAGTTATAAACAAGCCTAAGCTATAGGCCATGAATTCATAATTAATAAAAAAGTCTCTGTGTGGTTATTTGGGAACTGTCTGGTGGGACATGAAGTTCTACTTACAAATGGTGCGCAATGTGGGGCCCTGTGTGTGTGTGTGTGTGTGTGTGTGTGTGTGTGTGTGTGTATGTGTATAGAGAGAGAGAGAGCGAGAGAGAGAGAGAGAGAGAGAGACACAGAGAGAGAGACAGAGAGAGAGAGAGAGAGAGAGAGAGAAAGCTTAAAAATGTTTCTAAATACACAAAAATGGAGTCAAACGCAGCTTCCTAGTCTCATGTCTCTCATGCCGGCACGGCATAGAGATGTGTCTCCTGGCAGCTGCCTGTGTGCTTGAACTGCCAATGTGCCATGAGCTGAGCTGAGTGGTTGGTTTAAGGTTTTGTCCATGCAGACAGAAAAGGTTACAGATACTCAGTAAAGCATGTTCAGATGGAAAAAAAAAATCTCTAAATAGGTTACAGTGTGTTTAATTTATAACAATGTGCATAGACTTAACAAAACAAAATGGGTAAAGACATTCACAGGAAAAATAGTTTAAAAACTAGCAAAGTCTTTTAAGAAAGAGTAAAATAAAAAAAAATAAATAAGCCATGTAAAGATGGAACATACACAGGGAGTCTGGATCCTACATGGTGTCCTGTTAACTTTAAATTTTTTAAATGCTAATGTACAAAAAGGAATAGCTGCTAAGAAACATTGGATTATGGAAACTGCTAAATTAAACTAACCTATATATTTTTAAAATGACTTAACTTCAAAATGGAAGCTGGACATTATGTTATGTTGGATATGAGAGACAGATTATGCTTTTGTTTCCCCAGGAAACAAAAGACTGTGGATTCCTACTAGAAAAAAAATAAAATAAATAAATAAATAAATAAATAAATAAATAAATAAATAAATAAATAAATAAAATAGAGATCAGAGTTGACCATGGAAGAATGTTATGGGATGACCTTTCTGTATGCTATTAATGTATGTTGTTCTCATTGGTTAATAATAAAGCTGTTTGGGCCAATAGCCAGGCAGGATAAAGTTAGGTGGAAAAAACAAAGTAAGGAGGTAATAAAGAAGGGCACACTTGGAAGAGCTGTGAGCCAGATGGAGAACAAGTCGGGCATACAAAATGGGATGGAAGTGAAGGCTGCAAGCCTTGGGGCAGTACATGGATTAATAGACCGAGTGACGTGATAAGCCTCAGCTAATGACCAGGCATTTATAATTAATATAAGCCTCTGTGTAGTAATTTGGGAAGCAGATGCCGGGTATTCAGTATCAGGCAAATGAGACAGAAATCTCTGCCTTCATTTACAGAAGACCTCTTGAGTATCTTGGCTACAGACATGGGGAGGAAGCCAAAAAAGACTATAGGATAGGTGATGTGTAAGCTGATCCTTTGACATGGGAAGCGCTCTGAGATGAGATGAGACATGATAAATCTTGTTGGCTACAGAGTCCTCATGACTTATTATTACATGCCATTCTCTCATATGGCATGGACAGAGATTTATATTACAGTTTGGTTTTACAGTCCAAACAGACTTTACCTTCTCAAATATAAAAAAAGTCATCTTTAATGGACACGTGCACACTGCATGTGACATACTTGAGTTAATGCAGTTATGTGTGTTATCTTTAATAGTTAATGCGTTTTCAGAGCAAGGGGACCAGACACCAATGAAAACGGGTGGTCCAGGTTGCAGTTTCCTCAGAGTTCTGCCTGCAGAATAGCTTCAAGCTGCTGGCTGAGATGGTCCAGCCTCACAGACTACTCCAGCCAGGACTTCAGATAAGCCTTGCCTTCCCAATTGCACAGAGACCAGACAACAAATAATGCAGTTAACTC